TCAAAAGACGTCAACCCGACGCAACTTTTGAACAGTTTCTAAGTACCTTTAAATTCATGCACACTTTTGTATCGTAAAACGTGAGATTAAATAATTTTAGACTTATTGGAAAAAAATCTATGAAAACTGGTTATTTCCTACTACATAACATATACAGGGACCTATATATATGCTATGTTACAACGCACTTTGAAAAATTACGCACTTTGAAAAAATTTTTCAAAGTGCGTTAAAATTTGGGACCAAGCTAACGCACTTTGAAAAAAATATTTTTTTTTCAAAGTGCGTTAATATCGACCATATTAACGCACTTTGAAAAAAAAATGTAAAGATTGATCAATATTCCTTCAAATAATCGGTATGATAAATAACAGATCCTGATTTGATAACTTTTTATGATAAATTCACTGTATATAGGACCTGAGATATTGACGCTTTAAGGTTTTGATAAAATAAAGGAAAAATTAAAGGGTCTTGAAAAAAAGAGTGACGATTGTTTCTGATAAGTAGATATAAAGGTATATAGGGGTACTAACAGAGGACAGCTTCATAAAATTCATTGATAAAAAGGGGCAACTTGATTGTTCAAAACTATGAAAATTCTTTCTCTCTCAAACGTTTAACTGTACTTTAAAATTTCTAGTTTTCATCTGTTTTAATTAACTCATTTTTTATTGAAAGTTTTCAACGTCATACAAGTTAGGTAAATACATAATTATATGAATGCTTTGGTTATAGCATAGACATCGAGACTGGGCGAAGGGCCATGGGGGGAGGGGGGGGGGCTAAGCCCCCCACTTATTTTGGAAAGATATATACATCGTATAAGCATTGAAAATGCAGCTTTCCCTTTTTTGGTTTATTGCTCCCCTCCCCCGTTTGTAACCGACACCTATGTATTGGAAAGATAACGGTTTGGACATAGGGATCTTATACCCGTCTTCTCTTTTCGACGGGAGTAAATCAATTCATTTTCGAGGTTAGGCTTAGGCTTAGTTTTTTTGAAAGATAAAAAACAAATAAAATCTTTTCATGACTAAAGTATGATTTTTTTTTCAAAGTGCGTTAAGTGTCTCCATGGTAAAATATATTGATGTAGACTCTTAACGCACTTTGAAAAATTTTTTCAAAGTGCGTTGAGTTGGTCCAAAATTTAACGCACTTTGAAAATTTTTCAAAGTGCGTTGATTTTGTCCCAATTTTAACGCACTTTGAAAAAATTTTTCAAAGTGCGTAATTTTTTCAAAGTGCGTTGCCACAATGCTAGTTAACGATCCCTGATATAAATGTACAAATTTGATTCTGCACCCTGGATTTCCTCTGAATTTTGAAATACTGTCTGTATAATAATGAATAACCCGAAGTTCAAATGTGATAAAAGAAATATTCATTATTTAACTTATAACTATAAAATATTTATAATTTTTTTTTATGAACATGATACTTTGTGGTTTATTTTTTTTCAGTGAGTATATACCTGTCAGTTAGACTTCGGGAAAGTGCTAGAATCATTCCATATCATGATTATGGTACCCGCCTGCGGCCGGTAGTAGCAGATGTCTAAGAGAAACTTAACACTCAACTTTTCCAGGAAGCATGGATAATATATACAATGATTGATTGAAACCGAAATTTGATATCATGTATTTTAAAGATCTATGTAAATTTAAAAATAAAGTTGTGAATTAATTGTAGTAAATTCTTTTTTCCCATTTTTTTGCCATTTTCATAATATTGACATCTTTCTTCTTTGCGATGTCTGGACAGAACTCTAACTTTTAGTGACCATATTTTATTACGATCCTTATTTTAATAAATCTTTTAAAAGTAATAAATTGTAAATAATTCATAAATATTTCATTATTTATTCTTAACTCACCTGATTTTGAAAGTATGTTTTCAATAAGACTGTATCGGCCATTTTTACTATTGGCGGCCATATTGGATATTTTGCCGCCATCTTGGATATTTTTTAGCTGACATGAAAACAGAAAATTAGGGCTTGCATAGACCTTTCCGAAAATATATAGTTTGCCCTACTTCTAGATAAAATTATGCACTATCCTTTAAAAAATACCTAGATTTAACGGGTTTTTCTTCCTTTCATGTGCCATCATTTAGTACTCGTATGTATACAAATTTTCTTACATAAAATAGCAGTACTCACAACATTTAAAATTTCATAACTTCAGTTCTACTTGGAATTTTTTCACCAAGTAAAGTTTTTTATATTTCTAAATGTGTCCATGTTTGTTCTAGAATATATTTAATTGAAAATATTTTACCGAAAATTTATACCTGAACCCCCTAACGTGATTTCTTACCTCAGGTAAATTTGTGAATACTATAAATTCCTTCACGTGACTTGGAAGATACTATCAATCCAATAACAGCGTGTCACTTTGCTTGATCGACCGTGGTAAAAATTTCACAAATTGATTACCATATCATTCATCGATTGGATGTTTGAGTTGAATGAAATCAATACTACTTTGCATATAAAAAAACAGAATCCAAAATACAACGATAACACTGACCAATCGTATTTAGGGATTGCTCAGCATTTGTAGTCACTGGCAACACGTGGTCAGTCAAAGCCCGTTTATTGTCCGGGAAAAAGCACCTGCCATATTCCTTGTGATTTGACCGAATTGAGTTAATTTTGATACGAATGATAATATTTAAAGCATGAAATAAGTAAGGCTATACTTTGAAACTAATATAGTATGTATATTATATTGTATATAGCGATCGATTCCATCATTATAAGGATAAAAACTTGCTTTGCCTGTCCACATGTGATTATTGTTTACTGCATTCTCGTGAACAGTCATTCGATACGATTGGTCAGCATTCTAAGTGGTATTGCTGGGTTTGTATTTCATATGCAAAGTAGTATTGCTTTCATTGAAATCATTCATCCAATCGATGAGTAATATGGTAATCAACATGTGAAACTTTACCACGCTCGGTTAAGCAAAGTGACACGCTGTTATTGGAATGATAGTAACACGTTCTGTGCTAACTATAGGACATTGTGCTCGCGCAGGATAAATTACCAGGCATCGATTAAAGATATTCTTTACCTGCTTGGACGGACTTATTATTTATTGTTAATTACGTTTTTTTTAAAAACCTTTCCAAATAAATAAATGTACTTATCTCATACAAAACAACAGGCCCATGGGCCTTATAGGTCACCTGAGCATTATGCAACAACTTTCCACTCATTGAATTTGATTCATATTTTAAGCCAGATGCTATAGCATTCACAATTTTGAAAGAGCTGGCGGTCCATTGGTCATCATAACTATACACTGAACAGTTGCATAGTTTGGTTACTTAATACAAATAGGCAGGGTAGGGGAACAAAAAATGCATTTCAACTAATCAGTAATATTCAGTAATAATCAGTAGTGTCCCTACACACATGAACCCCTGACCCTTAGGCCTAGATCCACACATTGTACATGCATTCTTGCTTTTCAAAAATATTTGATTAATACCAAGGAGCAGGTTTCAAACAATTCATTATATATTATATTATCAGTTTATACATATACCTCCCCCTCTATGGAACCCCTGACCCTCGGGCCTTGAATTTCACAATTCTGGAAGATTATCATAACTATATAGGAAGTTCATCTGCTTAATACCAAGGAGCAAAGAAGAAAATTTATATGAAAGATTTCATGTATTTGCACTATATAATCAATGGACCAGAATCCCTGACCCTGGGCCCATAAAATTTATAATTTTTTAAGAGGCATTCTTGCTCATCATAACTGTATAGGTAGTTCATCTGCTTATACCCAGGAGCAAAAAAGAAATTTTTCAAAGATTTAATGTATTTTCACTATATAATCAATAGAGCCCCGCCTAAACACCAGAACTCCTGACCCTGGGGCCATAAAATTCACAATTTTGGTAGAGGCACTCTTGTTTATTATAACTATGCACTTAGTTGGTTTATTTAATACCCAGGAGCAGAGAAGAAGATTTTTAAAGAATTCATGTATTTACACTATACATAATCAATAGAGCCCCGCCCTAACACCAGAACCCTTGACCCTGGGGCCATAAAATTCACAATTTTGGTAGAGGTACTCTTGCTCATCATAATTATGCACTTAGTTAGTCTATCTAATACCCAGAAGCAGAAAAGAAGATGTTCAAAGAATTCATGTCTTTTCACTATATAATCAATAGAGCCCCCTCTTAACACCAAAATCCCTCATCCCGGGGCCATAAAATTCACAATTTTGATAAAGGCACTCTTGCACATCATAACTATGCACTTAGTTACTTTATTTTATACCCAGGAGCAGAGAAGAAGATTTTCAAAGAATTCATGTAGTTTTACTATATAATCAATGGAGCCCCACCCTTACACCAGAACCCCTGACCCTGGGGCCATAAAATTCACAATTTTGGTTCAGGCACTCTTGCTCATCATAACAATGAACTTAATTAGTTTGTTTAATACCCAGGAGCAGAGAAGAAGATTTTCAAAGAAAAAATGCATTTTCATTATATAATCAATTGAGCCCCCTCCCCCCTAACACCAGAACCCATGACCCAGGGGGGCATAAATATTACAATTTTGGTAGAGGACTCAATGCTGATTACAATCATACCAACAGTTTGGTTTTAAATATTGCACTAAATTTAGTGGTTTTTGCCCCAACCCCCGGCTCCAAGGTGGGGGGGGGGGGGGCAGGGACCACGAAATTCACAATTTTTGTTTCCCTTCACCCATAGATGCTTTATGCCAAAATTGTTTGAATTTGGTTCAGTGGTTTCAGATAAAAAGTTGAAAATGTTTAAAATGTTAACGCAGGACGAACGATGATCAACGGACAAAAACAGATAGCAATAGGTCACCTGAGTTTACTCACTGACAGGTGACATAAAACAATTGAAAAAATTAAAAATATTAGAAATAATTCAAAAATATATCTAAATATATTATATATCTTGATTTTAGAATTCATTAGAAATTATCATACATCACTTGACTGGCTGAATGTCTCCCACACACATCATATCTCTGAATATTTATATAGCTACCCGCGTCGCTAAATGCCTTCCGACAAACATCACATTAATAAAGTTTATCACCAGTTTGTGTCTTCATGTGTGTCTGTAAGTTCTGCGAATGGTTGAAAGCCTTCCGACACATATCACATTTATAAGATTTATCACCTGTATGTGTTCTCATATGTGCATGTAAGGAACTTGACAGAGTGAATGCCATTCCACACACTTCACATTTACTAGGTTAATCACCTGTATGTGTCTTCACGTGTCTCTTCAATTTTTGTGAGTGGCTGAATGCTTTCCCACAAACATCACATCTATAAGGTTTAACACCTGTATGTGTTCTCATGTGTGCATGTAAGGTGCTTGACTGAGTGAATGCCTTTTCACATACATCACATTTATAAGGCTTTTCACCTGTATGTGTCCTTATGTGTTTCTGAAAGTTACATGGATCGTTGAACGCTTTCCCACAAACATCACATCTATAAGGTTTATCACCTGTATGTGTCCTCATGTGACTACGTAAGTGATGTGACTGAGTGAATGCTTTCCCACACACATCACATTTATAAGGTTTTTCACCTGTATGTGTCCTCATGTGACTCTTCAAATACTGTGAGTGGCTGAATGCCTTCCCACAAACATCACACTTATAAGGTTTATCACCTGTATGTGTTCTCATATGTGCATGTAAGGAACTTGACAGAGTGAATGCCATTCCACACACTTCACATTTACAAGGTTTATCACCTGTATGTGTCCTCATGTGTCTCTTCAAATTTTGTGAGTGACTGAATGCCTTCCCACACATATCACATTTCCAAGGTTTATCTGTATGCGTCTTCACGTGTCTCTGCAAGTTACCTGGGGCGATGAACGCCTTCCCACAAACATCACATCTATAAGGTTTAACACCTGTATGTGTTCTCATGTGTGTATGTAAGGTGCTTGACTGAGTGAATGCCTTTTCACATACATCACATTTATAAGGCTTTTCACCTGTATGTATCCTTATGTGTTTCTGAAAGTTACATGGATCGTTGAACGCCTTCCCACAAACATCACATCTATAAGGTTTATCACCTGAATGTGTCCTCATGTGAGTCTGTAAGTGACGTGACTGGCTGAATGCTTTCCCACACACATCACATTTATAAGGTTTTTCACCTGTATGTGTCCTCATGTGACTCTTCAAATTTTGTGAGAGGCTGAATGCCTTCCCACACACATCACATTTATAAGGTTTATCACCTGTATGTGTCCTCGTGTGACTCTTCAAATTCTGTGAGTGGCTGAATGCCTTCCCACAAACATCACACTTATAAGGCTTATCACTGGTATGTACCTCCTTGTATTTCTCTAAGGAACCCTTTCTACAGACATCAGATTGATGTGATTCATTTACTGTTTGTGTTATATTGTGCCTGTGTAAATGTTCCCTTTTATTTAACACAGTCTGAGTCATACATGTATCACAGTTACATGTTTTATTCTGAGAATTCACTTTGATGATGGTATCAGATATGACGGCATTTTTTCTGTGAACTATACTGCTCTGTAATACATTTGATCTACAGAAGATATTTAAAACGGTCCCTTTCACTTGGTTATCAACCTGTATGGAAGATAAAGAAATATTTTTATTGCCGTAATACATAATTAATGTTATTCCTATGAAACTATAATTAATTTCATACTTGACACTACAGTACTATGATATTGATTTTTCATAATTTATATACATAAGGATTAATAAAAAATTAGAAAGAGTACCAGAAAGATGGTTCTCAAATTGCAACTGGAACTCTGATATTTGATATATATTCTAATGAAGCAAATAATTAAAAAAAAAACGGTTTTTCAAAGATCAAATATTATACAAAGTAAAGTATACAAAGGATCACTTCATGATAAAAAAAAAAAGACAAAAAAGAAAAGCTCGTTTCGATAGATCAATTTTCCAGAAAATCATATTTCATTAAAGGACAAGTGCACTTAAGCAATACTTATTGGGCCCTTTTGATGTGCAATTTTACTTCAAAATATATTACCAACTGGTTCTCTACTGGTAATAGTAAGATACTATTGGATATTTCTAATTAAAAAAAATGTTAAGCGCCACTTAAATCAGCATGGATTTGAAACAATTAAATATTTTAAAAGGCCTATGGATACCCTATAAATCCGGAAAAGTCGTACCGAACCTTCTTTTAGTTCCGTTCATGTAAATCAAGGAATAGATATTTAAATCAATACTGGAACAATCTGATGGTGGATCATAGTCGGGCGCGTTTGCGAAATGATATTTCTTGTGCCAAACCTGTTTTTAAAAATATGGAATGAAATTTTGTAGTTGCCTGTATCTAAATATTTAAACTACGAAATTGGTACTCTTGCAGTTGAAAAATGAATTTGAAATTGAAAAAGAGTGGTATAGGTGGCTTTCAATACCTGTTTCATTGTCTTGCATGAAGGTTAAAAATCTCCTTACCCTCCCGTGTTCTTAAAAAAAATACATATAATTATTATATAAACATCTCTAAGCGACAGGGCTTTGACTTACTGAAACAAAACCTGCCTATGTTTTACAGTGAGCACCTTTGAGGAATGTGTATCCTGGGTAGAACTCACGTGACTATCAGTATTCTAAATAATTTATTCCACACGTGGGTTCAACAAGGGTCATACAGGTAAATAGATCTCACTTACTGTAGGAAAAACGTTGTACTTTTTGTACATTTTTAATATTTTAAGAACGAGCCTAATCGTGTGCAAATTTCATACTTTCACACAAGTTTTATAAATGAAATATGCGTCTTTTGTCATTCGCACAAGTTTGCACAACGTTAGGCTCATAGTTAACAAAGGCTTTGAAATGAATGACCGTTCTCGATTTACTATAGAAAATCGCCAATGTCGGCTGACCCCTACCACATTGTATAGTTTTGTTCTTTGTATATTCGTGGATTTCAGCGGTAAAAATTATTGAATCGTATGGTTTAAATATCAATTAATAATTTGAAATGATTTTTTTTTTTCTGATTTTGATTATTTATTTTTTCACATTTTACCGGGGCCCATAAGTGCACTCGTTCTTTGATTTCAGTATTTAAACCTATAACATTATAGGTCACCTATATATGCATCATACAACTTCTTTCCAACAATTTGATTTGGTTCACCTTTAATCTACAGGCCACGACGGTAACAGTGTTTGAAAAGGCACCCTTGCTCCTCATAAATATATGATTTATATCAAGCAGCCGATTTCAAAGATTATTTTTCAGCATATACTTAGAGCCCCCTTCTACACTGATCCAGGGACATTGAAATTCATAATTCTGGAAGAATGGCACTTTCTCATCGATTAAAACTGTTTGTAGAAACTTTACATGTAATTTATTAAATACCCAGGAACAGAGGAGATTTTCAAAGAATAAATGCATTTTAATTAAATATAATCAAAAGATCCCCCTCCGCATAAACACCATAATTTCTGACCCTGGGGCTGACTAGATAAAATTAAGATAATTAAACAAATTAAAATTAAAAAAAAAAACAAATGTATTATGCAAAGATTAGGCTGAACAAAGCTTTAGCTTACATGGAACATTATTGCATGAATTTTTTTTCTATTCTGAAAAGTGCTAGAAAAAGACAAAATGTTAATGAATACTTTTCTTACAGGATCACCAGGAATGACCATGAATGGGATTTTTTCAGATCCTTGTGTAGCGATTTCATGTGAGCAGATCAAAGGATCTGATTTTTATCAGATTGATAATTTGAATAAACTAAATTACACTACCTTTGGATGCCTCAGCATCAAGCTGGCTCGTCATCGTTTTGCTGTTCTAGAGATTTTTATCCTTATTATACCTATGAAAAACATCTGTGTGGCTACATCTGTCGCCAAATGCCATAATTTACTTAAACAAATTAAAATCTACACTACCAGATGATTTTATCAATACGGGTTATCATGTTAGTATTGTCTTGAGATTTTGAAGGTTTTTAAAAATTATATCATTATTTAATTGTACAGCTTGTAAAACTTTGATCTCTGATTGTGGACCTGTTTGTACACTGAATGAAAAATCATTTTAACAAAAAATAATTTACATTTACTGGTCCGGTGATAATTCCATATCAATATAATTTGTCAGGGCTTTTCTATTCGTGAGAAAATTTATGATTTTAATAAATTTAATCCTAGGATAAATTTTGATCTCCTATTGTCTTGAATAATTGTACTTTGTAATGAAGGTTTCATATACGTTTCAACTAATTTGGCCTGGAACAGAGTTGGTATTTGGAGACGAGGGTTTTTGAAGATGCCACCAAATTTTCAATAATTCTTAAAATTAATTACTACAAATTGAAAGAGTGCAATGTCCCTTTTTGAACGGACTTGAATCACATTTATCCGACCAAGCTTATCTTCGGGAGATTAAATTGGCCAAATAGATTTGAAGAGTTTAAGGAGAGAAATTAACAATTCATGATAAGAACTTCATTCGGTATTAACCAATATTTTGCCCCAAAACAAACTTTGATGGAGCAAGCCCTTGAACAGGGGAGTATATGCTGACTTCAAAGCACTGAATATTTTCATAAGTGATGACGTCATATGTTCGTAATGACGTCACAATCATGACGTGAATTTCATTTTTTTTTTTATTTTACAGAAAAATGTACATATTTCGTCGATATTATGAGTAAAAGTCACCAAGAGCATGCGTGTTCAGGATCAATATTTTGATATGATTTGTAGAATGATAACATCAATGAAATTTTGTCAATATTGTTCCTGAACAAACTTGCGCTTTATAAATTTTAAAGCTAGAAATTGTTGATATTTTGTCCATTATGTCCTCTTTCTTTGAAAGGATATAAAATCGGACTTGTGTGTGACGTCATAAAAACAAATATTGTGAATACACTGCTTTGACACAATTATATTTTCCGTTTATTTTATATTTCTCATACAATTTATTGAATTCAGCACATTTCAGTAAGTTTTCAAAATTTGACTTTTGTGGGGGCAAGTATATGCAATATCGTAAATCTGGAAAATTTTACGTCGATTTTATATTGCAAATTGGGTCAAAACTCTGTTGATTTATTTTTACGTTTCAAAATTTTTGGAATTACCACTGCTTTGTTTACATTTTTTATTGGTTATTTATTTTTAAGAAAAATATTTTTGCGAATGTATGAACTCGCAAATTTGCTAAATGGTAAATGGTACACTGCATATAGTTTTTCTATTTTTTTTTTTAAAATTGTATACTTATGTACCATCCCTAAAATATTTCATAAGAATCTAACCTCTTTGGAATATGATCTGTCTGAATTCGCACTGTCACAATTTTCTTTTTCTTTCTTCTTGCAATATAATTTATGTCTCTTTAGAAAGTCTGGTGTACTAAAGCAAACGTTGCAATATGGACAACGGAAAATATCTGCATTAAGATCAAAAAAACATAAATTATTATTATTAAATACAAATATGCACTCTTTTACAACTTGCAAGATTTATAAAGGAGAGTTTATTGAGCATATTAAGAAATATAGAATAATATTTTTCAAAGTGTATTCACAAAATAGTAAAGGTTATGCTACTTTATTCTGAAAGAAAACAAGACTTACCATCACCTGTATATGGCTTAATGCACCTTAAAAAACTATGTCCATGCTTGTATTTACAGTTTTTTGCCAGATATTCCTTGTAACTGATCATGAATCCCATATCACACCAAGGACAGCTGAAGACTTTTATAAAAAGTAACATAAACTTAAAAATAACAATTTTGTAGTAAACTGCACTTTTAAAAAAAATTGAGATGAGTAAGTTATCAAATTATTCTTATCAACAACATTTTGTTCTTTTTATTGTTAAATAAATTAAGAATATGTCCATAACAAACTTTGACAAGCATACCCTCTCCATTTACAAATTTTGGAGGAACATCCATTTCTTCTCTATATATTCCTAGTTCTCTACCATATTCATGACCATACCATACCAAGAGTTCTGTCCCTGCAGGGATGTCTTTAAAAGATCTGTAATAGATCTGTCCCTTGTACTGAAAGGCCACCAGGTTTTGTTCCGATTCTGATCTAGCGCAGTTGACATATCTCATCCAGTTACTGAACGGTTCTTTAAAAGCATTCACAAAATGACTTGGATGCCCCTTTCTATATATCTATGGGAATAACAAAATGCAATCAATAATTTTACGTTAATAAAATAATAAAAGATTTTAAAAAAGCATTTTAAAATCAAATTATATTAACCAAGAGATGTTTTAAAACATGTCCTCCCTTCTTTAAATTATTGGAATTTTTCTTAGTCGAAGTGGAATAAATCTGTCCAAAATCGCTTGATTGTATCAGAAACAGAAGTTGACCAAGATAATCGATAATTCTTTAAATTAAATTCAATTTCAAAAGGTGCAACTTCTGCAGAGAAAATCAACGGAAACTGCAAATTATTGGAATTTTCCTAAGTCCAAGGAGCATAACTTAGTCCAAAATTATGTAATCGTACCAATAAAAATATTTGACTTAGATATTCATATGATAAATCTTTGAATCGAATTTTCATTTTATTTCATGCAACCTCTGCGAAGTAAATGAATAAAAACTGCAGTTTTTTAAAAGAATTTTTCTGAGTCCAAGGAGCATAACTCTTTCTTAAATAGTTTCATCGTACTAAAAATATACGTTGACCTAGATATTTCATTTCAATATGTACAATCGTTGGCCATTTCCGAATAATTATTCATTTAAGAGTTGATAATTTATAAATTCAAAGGTGTAAAAAAAAAAAAGGATGGGTAAAAAGGCATTATTTATGAGTGTTCGAAATGCAAAGTTTTAATTTTTTTGCTGTCAGTTCGATTTCGTTATTGTACTTAAAAAGAGTCGACATACTGCTACAATGCGACAAATTTGAATCACTGTGACGCGTTAGTCTGCAGAAGAGACACTACTTTCGTAATAAAACAACATTCCATATATCAAAAGTAATTTTGACAGATACTCTAACAAATAATAAAAACTTGTCTAAAATATATATTGAGAACACTGGAGGATATCGGAATATTTTCGTGTTGTCATTTAACTAGTTCCGAATATCCATTTTAAACACTATAATTATAAATTCATTCTTCGTTGTTTTTATTGCAAACGTGACTTATTATACCCCCACTAGAAAAGCAGGGATAAGGGGTATATAGTGATGGATTTTTGTCCATCCATCCGTCTGTATGTACGTCCGTCAGGGGTACCCATTTCTTATCCACAGCTTCTCTTCAACCAATGAATGAAATTTAATAAGGCTTCACAGAATTTAATTAGGCATTCACAGAATCATTGTTAAATAGTACAAAAGTACACCTTTGAAAGGTATATCCATCTCTTATCTGCAATTCCTTCATTCCTGAATAAGATTTAATGATATTTTTAAAGATACTTTATTACATTGTGTCATTCTACATGTGACCTCTTATTTTACTTTTTGATTTGACACTCATTACGGGTCTCCCAGAGCAAAACGAACGGGGATTTTGTCATAATATTCATATAGGAGGCGTGAGGTATCATTAAAGTGAGCTCAGTGTTCACAGTACCCCTAGAGTCTCTTTATCCTTTGGAAATACAAAATTAAGCAATTAATTTAACTTTTCTTAGGCATGCCAATGGATAATGTGTGGTAAGTTATATTCTTTCAGTTTAGGGATGAATTGAATGGGAACCACTTGGGTATTCGGAATTCGTCGGCTTATTCATTTGAAAAATTAAAACCCTTTACCTTGGAATTCAATGTGGGAGGTTAGATTGAATTTGGTCAGGAGATTCTGATTAAGAAGTCAAAATGTAAAAAAAGTTTACAGACAAGTAAACAAAAAACATACAGACACCCAACACTCTTAAATCAGAAAGGCTAACTTGAGCCTTCAGTTCAGATGAGTTAAATTTTAAATTAGTTTATCCAAGCTAAAGAAATTTTTTAACATATGACGTATTAGTGTCTTTTACATGCCTGCCAAGCATATCCCGTTTCATGGGCTTCATCCTGGTTCTCGGTAATTTCTCCCTCATACGGACCAAATCTTGTCCTTTTGGGGAAAAACATTTCAGCAAATACTCCTAGTCCAGCATTGGTTATATCCGACTCCCTTACTTTTAGGCCAGGTGGGAGGGTTTTCTTGGATCTCTCAGGAATACCTTGAGATTGCTTAAATAAGACACTTAATTACAATTTTTCTGTGACTCTGCACTGCAGCACATGCTGGAAATGCAGAATATTTTTGGGGAATTATTGATTTCCCTGTTGACAATTATCTTAGCAAGTCTTATGATACACATAACCTTTCATTTTGTATCATTTACAACTAAAAGTGGACCATGTATTGGACAGCCACCTTCATGTTCATCTATAAAACACCTGTGCATCTTTAACAACTAACAGTAGATCGTGTATTGGACAGTCACCTTCATGTTCTTATATAAAATACCTCTGTATATTATTTACAGCTAACGGTGGACTGTGTATTGGACAGCCCCTTTCATGTTTTAATATCTTACCTCTGTAACAGTGACCAGTAATTCTAAATGTGGACCATATATTGGACGGTATAATCCCTAAATGTTTCTTTTACTTACCTCTGTATCTGTGACAACTAACAGTAGACCATGTATTGGACAGTCTTCTTCATGTTTCTTTATCTTAATTACCTCTGTATCAGTGATAACTAACAGTTGACAATGTATTGGACAGTCCCCTTCATGTTCCTACATCTTACCTCTGTATCAGTGACCACTAACAGTGGAATATGTATTGGACAGTCACCTTCATGTTTCTATATCTTACCTCTGTATCAGTGACCACTAACAGTGGACCATGTATTGGACAGTCACCTTCATGTTCCTGGTTACATTCCTCACAGTCTGCAATGTATTATTTTTAAATATTTGAAGTATTTTTTTTTGTTTACTTTTATAAGATATTTTGATTGAGTAACACAATAGCTATTGAGAGTCCATCCGCCAGGTAGGCATCTCGATAACGCAGAAAGGATTCACTAAGCGAGTGAATTTTTCCTTGCCAATGACGACCATTTACATCCTTCGTTTGTTCAAAGAAAATGTATTGTAAACTTAGCAACACTAAAGTAAAATCTGAGATACAAGTTTAAGAAAAGCTACTTTGACAATGTGGCATGAAAGATGAATAGAGATACCATTACATGTAAAAGTACCTATTAGCTCTTTCCTCCTAGTTTAAGATGTGCAATAATTTTTTTGAGATATGATAATATCTGCATTTACATCAGAACGAAACATTTCTAGAGTACGTTTTACACATGTAATGCGGAAAACACATGGCAATAAAAAATATAAACCCTCAATTTGAAAATTAAACATTTTAAACAATCTGATACTTGCATATAAAATCGTCATCATCTGGCACTTCAACGTCCATGTAATTAAGTCTTTCTTGTACTCTAAGTGGATATGTATGTGACTCTGTTTTCTTCATGTTTTTCGTATTTTTCTCAGTCTAAATAAGATTGGCAAGGAAAGGAAATAATATACAAATCTTTGAAGCATGTCAGTGTATTAACCTTTTATCCAGTGGATATCACTTATACCACTAAAGTATGATTATGAAGGAATGAAGATGTGTTTGTGAAACACTGATGCCCCCGTACGCAGCACAGTTAAGGTTACAAAAAGGAGGCGGAGCCTAATTTGTACGGGAAAACTTGACTATGACATCATACACAATATACGTCATACAGCATTTCTTTAAAATACCACAAAATGAGTTGGTTTGCTAATTTAACCAGTAAGAAATGATCCAACTACATTAAAACTTACTACAGCGTGTTGTTTTGACTTTAGTTAAATCCCACATAACAAGTTATATACATGTCACTGATCGCAATACACTTGTCAATATGACGTCATTTCTTACAACGTGACGTAGTTTGTATGCAGTGAGAGGCAGATCAAGTAATATTTTCTCAACAAAATATTTATTCTCTAATTAAATAAAATATTATTTACAGATATTCTATGAGCAATAACTTGAATTTAATGTCGTTTTCACTATTTTATTAATATATTTTCTGTACATTACGTATTTAATTGACACTGCCGTATATTTGTATGCAAGTACACCGGAGGGTAATGTGGGGTCTTAATAAATCGATCTAGTGCAAGGGCATACTCTCTATGGATCATAATAAGCTTTTACATTTCAACTCTAGAACTATTTAGGTATCTGAAAAGTGCTGCGATCCTGATGAAATCTTAAAAACAATCTAATTATATCAATATTTCATGCCGCTGACCATCAAAAAATATAGCATTCGGTCATACAAAGAATAAGATAGGACAAGTAATGTCGCATGGCCCCCAAATTTCTCAGAAAATAGATTACTTGTATATAAAAAGACACCCCAGTCTTTTGAAAGATGGAAACACCTACTTTTTATTAAACATATTAGATTTCTTTTCATTTGTCCATAAAATGAATTTTAGAGGACTTTGTTTCTGCATGATAACGAAAAATAGTAAGAATATGCAGTATTTTCAGCATTCTTACACTCTAAAAACTATGAGCGACTAAGAGTACCACAAAGATATTTTGTTATTTGAGAGCAATACATAAGTACTTGCTTTGTATAAAAAATCTTCGTGGTACTCTTAGTCGCTCATGTTTAAATATTTAAAAAATCAAGAAAAAAATCGTGTAAATTTTATAAAACTCGATTGATAATGATCAACCTGCTTTTTCCCGGATTAACAATGTGACGGGTATGTTATGTTATAAACAAGCTTCTCCTTGTCAAACGGTTGTTATTTGTAATTTTTACGCAAGAAAAATAATTTACACAAGTTTTTCAAACCATCAATCGTCTCAGATAAGAAAAAAGTTGTTTAGAATTAATAAACTCACCGGTGATATTTCAAGTCAAAATAGCTCAGTAGTGCGACACTGCTGGCAGGACATGCCATAGAAATTTCGACTGGATTTCCACTTTCCTGATAGGATCAGTCATGTTTTGATGAAAAATCAAATGAATATTTTCCTGCATGCAATGATACTAAAAGAAATTATCCACGATACTATTTCCACTTGAGGTATTTCACGAAATTACGATGAGTACGAAGCGTCTGCTGTACGACGCCATTTTTGTTTTGAGTGGGAGCGGATCAAATCCACCACACGCACCTGCTTTGAATAAATCTGCAATAGGTTATTTTTATCGATTTGTTTCTGCTCATATTGCTTCAAAATTATAAGGACAACTTTTTAAACTTAACATAACAAGGTGGATTTGTATTTTTCATTTTATTACTATTAAAAAAAATATTTATTAATGGGAATATGAGATAAAAAAATTAAAAACCACAAATTCTGGATGACGAAAGTACAAAGACATCCTAGATTCATCCTTTCAGAAACAATGTACCTGTTCTCACCTAACATCTTGCTCTATTTTTTTTTTCTTTAAAAGATCACACAAAATTAATATTATGAAAAATGAGGTTCTATTGAGGATGACTGGGGGTGCAAGCTATATATACTTTCCTTCGGAGATCTCCTTTTTGCAACTCAAAGTCATTTTAAAGCTACAGAATTGGAAACTGAAACCCTGGGGCTAAAGGGTTTAAAACCTCTTGTAAAACCTTAAATCATAATTTGACAGTGAAAAAAGGGTGAATCTGTCGTACGTTACAAATATTTCATGACCTTGTAGATTGACAAGCCCTCATCATTTTTCCTCATAAAATACCAATTTCATAAGTATCAATAATCAGTCGTCTTATAGTTAGGAAATATTATAAAATGATCATTGATCATTCATTCTTACTGAAAATCAATGATTCTGATTCGCCGATATGACTTTCTGCATCCATTTTTTTTTATTATTCGTACATGTAAATATGTATTTATAGTACAATGGAAAACCCATTTTTGTTTTGGTATTGTCATTATGTAACATGAGGCTACAATACATGTGTACTTTGAGTGAAATAGTATCATCACTCTAAAATCTTTTTGATCAAACTGTGGTATATCTAGTTTTTTTCTAGTTAAATTATGAACTTATAAAGGGAGGATGTCACTATATAATGTTTAAAGTATCCTACAGGAAATGAAATCAGACGATGAGATTCAAGTTAAAGTTTAAAAATTATTTTTTGTAAACTCTTGACGAAATTATTACAATGCTGATGTAGGGTTACAAAAGCTGAAGGACTGTAGCTCTCTGCTTGGGTAAATTCGGACAGATAAATTGCCCCCCTCCCCACCCTTTAATTTTCATATCGGTGTATGAAAATGCAAATATTTGCCGCATACATACACGTACACTGTATAATGTAAGACTCTTTTAAAAAGTATATACGGGTATGTTTATAAGTTTTTCCACTGTTAAGAGAAATGTAGTGAAGTAAACTGGAAGAAATTTGTTGCAATATTCCCCGTATAGATTAAGCTTCATGTATAGGGGAGTCTGCGACAGAAAATGCATTGTGTATTTTAAAGTTTGTTATTTTTTTTTTTTTTTTTTTTTTTTTACTTGTTACCAAGTAGATCCGATATCAGCTTATTTGTTTTTGTAACAATGAAATTGCAAAAATTAGACAGGATCGCAGAACTTTTTAGAAACTACAATGTGTGTTGAAAATAATTATATAATAAACTTGGAAATTAAACTTGGTTATGCCCTTGCACTAGTAAAATTTATATGTAACATCAATAATGCAAGTCAATGTGCTAAAATCGCCTGACTGCAGCATCACGTGACTAGTCTAAATATAAAATATATTCGTCCTCGATATGTAGTTATTAATCATAATTACAATTATCTGATAGAAATAATGTACTAAAAATAATCGCCATTCCGATTACAAATACATTTTTAAATACAAAATTTAGTCGATATTTCCATTGCGCACCTTAACTGTGCTGCGTATGGCAACATAGTGAAGATTAAACTTTTCTTAGATGCAAAGTTAATATATTGGTACCCAAAGTAGGGTCTCCTTACTGGAAATACAATTGTAAAACAAGAAAGCCCTATCATCATCTGTTCCAAAGTTATGATCAGGCTAAACTTTTTTCATAAGTACATAAATCTTCAAGATGAAGGTCAGGAGGTCAAGTTTATTGGTATCCAATGAAAGGTCTTTCCACAAAAATCACATGTTTGAAGTTTGGAAGCCCTAGCCCTAATCATTTAAAAGTTATGGCCAAGGTTTAACAGATTTTTGTAGTACGTTAAACTCAAAGATCAAGGTCAGAAGGTCAAGGTTATTGGTATTGAATGAAAGGTCTTGTCATAAGACTTACATATGTGAAGTATGAAAGCCCTAGCCCTAACTCTTTAAAAGTTATTGCCAAGGTTTATGTTTTTTTCATAAGTCCGGAAATCTCCAAGGTCAAGGTCAAAAGGTCAAGGTTATCAAGCTTCAATAAATGCTCTTGCTACAAAGAATACATATGTGAAGTATGGAAGCTCTAGTCTTAACCGTCCAAAAATGTTATGGCCAATGTTAAGATTTTTTTAAACGTAGGTCAAACTCTAAGGTCAAGTTCAAAAGGTCAAAGGTCTCAATATCAAATGAAAGGTCTTGTCACAATTATTAAATATGTAAAATATGAAAACACTAGCTCTTACCATTTAATAGATATGGTCAAGGTTAATTTTTTTTAAGATGGTCAAACTCCAAGGTCAAAGCTCTTGGTATCCAATGAAGCGTCTTCTTACAAGGATTACATATGTGCAGTATGAAAACTCTAGCCCTTACCGTTTAAAAGTTATTGCAAGTGTTAAAGTTTTTTATTAGTACGTAAATCTCCAAGGTCAAAGGTAAAAGGTCTTGCCACAAAGAATATATCTGTGAAGTAAATGTCCTGGTATCTTCTGTTCAAAAGTTATGGCCAAAGTAAAAATTTGAATTTTTTGTTTAAAAGTGGGTCAAATTCCAAGGTCACGGCCAAAAGATTAAATTTGGTGGTACCCAAAGAAAGGTCTTGTCACAAGGAATACACATGTGAAATATAAAAGTCACAGCTCCACTAAATCAAGTTATGGACAAGGTTAAAGTTTTTGCGGACAAACAGAAAGACAGACGGACAAGACAAAAACTATATACCCCTGAAACTTCGTTTACGTGGGCATAAAATGCCCCCGTGCTCAAAAAGAAGCAAATGACGCTTTTCAATGTTCCAGTCTTACTGATTTATTTTAAATATAATCTTTGAATTAAAACACATGTCTGTACATGTAACATTTTTATTCAATTTCTAATTGTCTTTAGAACTCAATTTTTAGTATGAAGGCCTTTTGTATACTAGATTTTGGCAGATCCTATGATATACTTGACTTGTTTCTTCTTTCTGAAAGGTGTTCTTTTTTTTAAGTTTGGAAAATGAAACAAGTCAAAGGGTAAAAGATATGGCGAATATTGTTGGTGTGACTAAACAATATTCTGTTAATTATTCTTCAAAACTACTTAACTCTTCATGAAGAAATTTAATGTATTGGATTCGTGATTCTGGTTCCATCCTCTCATACACCTTTCAATTTTTGGGCAAAACTTTGCTTTCTAGACTCTTCCAGAAATTGAACTGCCTTCCCGATATTTAAACAACAAGACTAATATTTAAGAAAATGGCATAAAGAACTGTCTTTGTCCTCTTGTAATTCTTCGCTTTTTTTCAGACCTTTGCTTTTTTATCAAGTACACCTTATTGTAAACTTGTTCTGAGAGTAATTAAGCAATGGGTTCAAGTTTCATTACCTTTTTGAATTTCCGACAAACATGGATAACTAAAATTTCTGATTTTTTAAAATTTTTGTTAAAATTTTTTGCACGATGTCGTTTTCACTCATTTTTCAAAACTTGGGGTGACCATTGAGTGCTTATCTATTTTACTGTAAAATGTTTCCTTAAAATATTGTAAACTACCCCCCCCCCCCCAATAAAAGATACCTATTTAACTTGCTATGTGTTTTAAAGTCAATATCAAATATCAAAAGTGACCCTAATGTTTAATCTGGCAATGTATAAATTAAAAATCAAGAGATGTAAAAAAAAAAGTGTAGTGCATGATTAATAAGAAAGTTGTAAAAACCCTTGGAACATTCGTTTGGTAGAGTATGGTCATCTTTTAAAAGATTTGTTTCCCTCTCAGGAACAACTGGCTTAAAGTGACCAGGTGCAATACTTTTTCCTTCAGGAAGCAGGTATTTTCTAAGCATTCTGGATTCTAAACAGGAGGACAATTGGCCACAACGCTGAGTAACTTTGACCCTGCTGTTCTTCACCAGTCTTTCCCCTTGAAATACTTATTTACCTATTGTGCCTTTTGGGCATGAGTTTAACAATATGAAATTTAAACTACCCTTAGGATGCTTCCACGTTTTAGTCTCAATTACTTAAGTATTTTCAGTTACTTAGACGATTTTCAAACCTTTTTCCAAATTATACCGCATAAATGAAAATTTTAACTAGGATTTAATATTGACATTTTATGAGTTATGAGATCGCTCAAATTGAATATTGATAAAATATAATTGAGTTTTATTTGTAATAACTTCTTATGTGAGCATTTTAACATAGCTAAATTTACGTCTTACAAAAAAATTCACATTTTTTTTAATATGGAGAAATGGCTAAATTTTCATTTCGCTAAAACTTTCATGTATACAGTATCTCAATGTATCGCTTAGAAACCAGATTGTGGCCCCAACATGGGGTTATGATTTTAATGATTTATAATCAATCTACGCTACCCAAGGGGTACTCCGACATAAGTTTCACATTTTCTGGCCCAGTAGTTCTAGAGCAGATTTTCCAATATATATATATATATATATATATATATATATATATATATATATATATATATATATATATATATATATATATATATATATATATATTCAAAAAATTATTTTTCCTTGGTATAGGGATAAAATAAAATCCAAATTCAAATGATAAACTCAAACTTTTATCTAAAGCGCTTTCGCCCCATGCGGGCTCATCAGTAGATTTGAAATTGTAAACAAGTTACATTATGACGTCATTCTCGTGACGTTATGTAGGCAACGTTATACATAATGATTGTGACGTAATAATAATCACAGTTCACAGTTCAATGAGGCGCACAGATAAAGTTTTACAGTTCATCTGATCAAAGTTAAGCGCCTATTATAAATGTACAATAATGGAGACATTTTATATAAAATGTACATAATAAAATAATTTGATATAAATTCCTTTTAGCAGTTCAATTTTGGTTTAAACAGATTTATAAAATATCGTTCTTTGGCTTTCCGTAATTGTTCATTTTCCTCTTTTATTTTGTAAAAAGGAAATATATAAAAATGTCCTTTGCCACAAGAATCAAAGTGTTCACTACATTGCGTGTTTCGTATGGTCGGATCCTTAATCTGTTGTTTGTGCACGCGAACACGATCGGCTAATTTGGTTCCACAATATTCAGCTTTTCCGGTCAAGTGGTTATTGAGAAGAATATATATTTTTTAATTGATATATCGCCCACATAGTCCAGTGGTTAGAGCGTCGGCTTTAGAAGTCGCGAAATAAGGAGCTGATCTTTACGTTGCAGGTTAGAATCCCACCGTAAGATATGAAGAGGCAGGTCGGATACTTCTGATGAGACTGTGTAAACCATGATATCTTCGCAGTAGGTGCTGGCAGGAAAAAGACCCTTCATTGCTTAATGGCCATTAGTGCCGAGTAAAGGACAAAATTCACTGCCTCCACTGGCAAGTGGTTGCTTCTCCATATGAGTAAAAAAAATCTTGAGAGGGATGTTCAACATCATAAAAACAATGTAAAACTTTTGTGGCCCTACCCTTCCCCGGGGGAGGACATGATTTTAACAACTTAAAATGTACACTACCTACCCCAGAATGCTCCACATAAGTTCCAGGTTTTCTGGACCAGTGGTTCTCAATCCCTAAGAGGTCCATGACTTTAACAATTTAGAATCTACACTACGATAACCCTAGAATGCTTCCACATAAGTACTGGGTCAGCTTTGTTGGCCTTGTGGTTCTTGAAATTAGGTTTTTGAATGACCCCACCCTTTTTTGTCTTTTCTTAAAAATCTCTCCTTGTAACTTATAAGGGGACTTTGCCCTTCATTTTAACAATTCAAACCCCCTTTACCCAGTTATGCTTTGTTAGTAGTTTGGTTATTATTTTAAGTTCGGTTTTTAACATTTATTAAAAATGTGAAAAGTTCACAGACGAACGACGGACAACGGGTGATTAGAAAACATAATTTGAACTTTACACATTTAAAGGTACATGTATTTTTAGCTCACCTGAGCCGAAGGCTCAAGTGAGCTTTTCTGATCACATTTTGTCCGGCGTCCGTCTGTCTGTCTATCTGTAAACTTTTAACATTTTCGACTTCTTCTCAAGAACCGCTGGGCCAATTTCAACCAAACTTGCCACAAAGCATCCTTGGGTGAAGGGGATTCAAGTTTGTTCAAATGAAGGGCCAAGCCCTCATTCAAGGGGAGATAATTGGCAATTAATGAAAATTTGGTGGCATGTTTTAAAAATCTTCTTCTCAAGAACCACTGTGCCAGGAATGATGAAACTTATGGGGAATCATCCTCAGGTAGTGTAGATTCAAGTTTGTTCAAATCATGACCCCCGGGGGTAGGGCGGGGCCAAAATGGCTGACCAAAGTTTTACATAGAAATATATAGGAAAATTCTTTAAAAATCATCTTCTCAAAGATAGAAAATCCATGGTTGTTCATGGGACTACTTTTGGATTTTACCTTTTCAATAATAAACCAATTTATACTTTTACTAGCCACAGTGCTCAGGTGAGCTATGTGGCCCATGGGCCTCTTGTTTTTTATTGAAACCATTCATTAAAATGGACTGAAAATTAAATATAAGTGTCTGTTTCAACTAAAGGGATGTCTTCTCCTAGACTCACCTCTGGACCATATGAAGTGTATTATACTGTCTGTATTTTCAATCATCTGTTCATAATTTGATTATTTGATTAAGAGATTGAAGACTGTTTTTTATTGTACATAACCTTTTTGATCAAGTATTGTACAGAAACTTACCAAACCTCTTTGGTAGTATTAGCAATACATTCCATATGCATGTACTCTTTTAATTTAAAATCTTAAAAATTGAAAACAAAACATTTTCACCTCAATATTTTATGTCTTGTTATAAAATTAATATACATGTATTATGCCCCTGTAATGAAATATTTGGGGCATATAGTTTTTGCCATGTCTGTCCATCTGTCTTTCTATCTGTACATATTTTTTTCAAAAATAAACTTTATCCTTGTCCATAACTTTTGATTTGTTGTCACTATATACATGTTCATGTGTATGGCTATTATATATTTTTTATGTATATCCCTTTTGACAAGACCCTTCTATGGGTACCAACATATTTGACCTCTTGTTTTTGACCTTGGAGTTGGAGGTTTTTGAAAAATTACTAAACTTTAAAAGTGGCAATAACTTTTAAACAACTGAAGCTACAGCATCCATACTACACATTTGTTTTAAGTGTATATATTAAAACTTATCTTTCTATTGATAAAAAATATTTTTGATCTTGACCTAAGCGCTTTACCTCTTTTTTTTTAAACTTTTATCTTGGACATTCCTTTGAACAAACACTAGGGCTTTCAAATTATTTCATGGAGTATATACTCAGTATATCTTGTGACAAGACCTTTCTTTGGATACCAACAAATTGATACTAAAACTTGACCTAGGAATGTGACCTATAGATTTGAAAAATTTGAACCTGTATGCTTGGCTAAAAAACATTTTTGAATAGTTTAATATTTCACATTAGTATTTCTTACAGTTGACATGCCTTCCACTGAGTACATTAAATTTGACCCTTTGACCTAGACCCTGGAGTTTGGCCAAAATTAACATTTTGTTTTTGACTTGCATTTAAAAAACCTTCACCAAAAGCTGACATATATGCTGGAATCACACTCATAATAAAACACATATTTCAATATTTTGACTTTGAGATGGAGAGATGTCAATTTATCAGTAAGAACAGGTTTCTTTTACTACAACTTATAAATTAACCTCAGAGTCTGTTATAAGTACATTCACAACACAGCTTTCTTTAAGTAAAATGTAAAATTTACATTAATATTTCATTTTTACCTTTATTTTTCTTGGTTTATTTTCCTTTTGCACCTTTTCAGGGAAAGAAAACCTAATTGTTTGTTTCTTTTCTAAAGAAAATAAAGGATCCTGACGTTTAATGCTTACCAATAACATATTATGAGTAAAAAGAACGACATTTACTCTAAAACTTTTTTCTAGAATAGCATTAGTGTTGCACAATATAAGTTCATGACTTTTCTGTGTATATCAGAGAAATATTAGCTATATTAAAATTTCTGTTCATATTGTATTAGGAGTTCAATGAAAAACTACCAGCAGACACTTAGCTACTAATGTGCAAAGTGATCAATGTACATGTACATGCAGTAAAACTCGGTTATAAGGAAGTCCTGGGAAAACATTATGAAATTACTTTGCTATATCTGTAATAATATATGTATACATGTATATGGAATTTGTTAAATGAGCATAGTTAAGGATCCAAGATAACTTAGTTTTTATATTTGTACGTGTGAATTGTCAATTTCCAAGTTCGTACTAAACAAGTTTTACTGTAGAGAGCATTGAGAGCAAATCTTTGGCAAATAAAAGGAGTGTCTCTCAGCAAGCAAGGGTGGAATAAGAAGACTGTCAGCTCATGAGCATGAAGAAACTAAGTGTCAGTTAGTGAATAGATAAAAATGATGAGTTTATCTTAATATTTTAGGAACCATAAGTACATGTATACCCCTCGTAGACTTGTAAGGAGTCCATTCTTCATCGCTGTCTGATTCCACTTTCTTGAGTTTTCTTTTTCCTCTGGACCTGGGTCCCTTCATAAACTCAGGCATCACTGCTGGTAATCCTTAAAAAATATCCTTCTAAATAAATCTGAAGTAAATTATAACTAAGTTTTTTCTAAATCCTTTAACATGTTTAATTGAAAAAATAAATCGGGAAAATTTTAAGTTTAACTGTTGAATAAAAAGACACTTTTTTAAGCTTACTCTACATTTACATCTTTTTGAACCATGACAAGATTAAATTCTTAATATTCTTAATATCAAATGTGCACTAAAAAAACTCAATTTGTTCATGATTCTCAATTTTTTTTTTAATTCAAAAATTTAAAAATTAATAAGTGATTTTGGTAAATCTTTAAAAAAAAAGAGTAAATGTTCAATTAAGACACCTACTAGGGTTCTTTTACCTTACCTGAGTGCAAGGATAATGAAAGTAATCCTTATTGTTATTTAGAACATACCAACAGCCAGCATTATCTCATAGTTCTTCCTCATGTTCTTGTATCTTTGCAGCTCCACCTTAGAGAGTTTGGCCAGTTCTGACTTGGAGAAATATCCCTCTATACTGTACTCTCTGTTCTCCAGCTCTCTGATGACGTCATCACTGGGGAATTCCATATTTGGTCTTCCACTTAATATAAACAATTAAACATGTACAAAACACATGTTAATTCATAAAACATAATAATAAAGTACAAATCTAAATTACATAGTGTTTTTAATCATCAGGTTATTATTTAGATTCTATATCATATACATGTACAAATCCTCTTTTGTACCAATATTCTATAGGGGGTAATTATAATGCTTTATGAACAAGTTCACTGATCATGTAGTCAATATGTTACACCCAAAAATTTGTCTTAAGTAAATTACTCCAAGATGCCTCAGCAGAATAAAGTGCGTTTTTTCTATATGAAGTCCTACATATATTTGTTACTTGTGTCAAATTGTTAAAAAATCACAGCTGAGTGAAAATAAATCTTTAGGAGGCAGAAATTTATGTTCTAGCATGTACATAAAGAAAAGAAGACTAGATTAGAACGTTAAATTTCCTACATAGAGTCTAGCCTATATGAAAAAGTCGCCCTTACAGACGAATTTCACATTCTTAAGAGTTATCTCCCGTTGTCGGCGTAACGCTCATTTTTCGCACTTTGTCCTTTGTAAGTTACCTGTAAATATTTTTAAATTTCAAACGTTATAAGACAATTTCTATCTGTACCTGTATTGCCAGAGTATGGGACAACAAGAAAAACACCAGGAGCAGTGAGCATATTCATAAATATTTCATTTCTAGGATACTGACCCATAAAGGTTGTAGATTATATAGGGAAAACAGCGTCTTACGCCGGTTGACCCCGCAAAGGGAAATAACTTTTGTAAATGTGAAGGTCGTCTTACATATATAAACAGTCAATACTAATTATACAGTATATCGAGAAAAAAAGATATACATCTTTCCTCGTAGACTCTGAAAAAAATAAGATCTATCCTCATGGGTTACATTTATGTCTCATGATCTGCCTACCCCCCCCCCCCTCCTTTTTTCTTTTTTTACAGAATGGCCGTCCCTTATGCAGTGAAAAAGAATAAAAGTTAAAAAGATATAATAAGGCCCTACTTGAATAATTTGATATCAAATTTCTTTTTAATTAAATGCCAATTTTTAAAAGCTTCCATTAAAATATGACTCGTTACTCAGCTAAATATGCTTATCTACAGAAACCCATTTAGGACCTATCAAAAAAATATTTTTGAATTCGTTATAACGATATTTTAGAATTCGTTATAACGAATTTAATTTGTTATAACAGATTTATTAAATTCGTAATAACGAATTTAATTTGTTATAACAGATTCATTGAATTCGTTATAACGAATTTAATCTGTTATAACAGATTTGTTGAATTCGTTATAACGAATTTAATCTGTTATTACAGATTTGTTAAATTCGAATTCCTTGAATTGGTTATAACGAATTCAACAAATCTGTAATAACAAATTAAATTCGTTATAACGAATTCTAAAAGGCTGTTAAAACAAATTAATTTCGTAATAACGACTTCTAAAAATCTATTATAATTAATTAAATTCGTTATAATCAATTCTAAAAATCGTTATAACGAATTCAAAAATATTTTTGATAGGTCCTAAATGGGCTTCCGTACCTATCAAACTGCCCACAGGCACTTGTTTCGTATATGGGATATCGGATATCCCCTTCTTACATTTACCACATTGTGATAAATATAAGTAGGGGATATCTCTTATATGAAACATGTGCCTGTGCAACTGCCCCAAGGTCGTGTTACTTTAGAAGTGAAAAACAAATTTGTCAAAATGAGAGAGAATACGTTGCCATATGTGCATCATATAAGAAATTATAAACTATAAATATAATATAATATAAACTAGTCAACTAAACCATGATCCTTTCTGATTTCAGTATAGATCTACAAAATGTAACTTGCAAACAGCGTTTGAATATTGTAGGTAAACCTGTTTCTCTTTGGTGACCCTCTTCGAAGCAGACGACAATAATATTAACTTGGATGTCGAACCCGATGTAAACAATCATACGCTGAAAAACATCGGAAATCCTTCATATCATAATTGAGTTTCTGTTATTTAAATTTTTAAGAAATCTAGTTTCAACCATATTAAAATTATATTCATATATAAATTACAGTATTACATTTATTTATTTCTATTAATTATCACTATATTCGGTTGGGGGAGGGGGTGTTAAGGATAAAAGATTTTTTAAAAATCCACATCTATTCATAAAAATTTTTGCCACTTTTTTTTGCCTTACCAATCCTGAGTGACGTGGTTTTTATTTTAAAATGAATTCTGTCCAACCTGTTTCACACGTCATACTACTTACTGTGGGTCTTTAAAAGCAACTGACCGCATGATTTCAAGCACTTGCACGTGCTGTGTTAAAAAGTGGAAGGATAATTCAGTTATGATCATTCTACATAAAAAGATCATAATGAGCGGATGATGCATTCAGGGAAAATATGGGACATAGATAACTAAATATCAAAATATGGATTAAATCATAATATGGCTTTAAAAACTGCGCATTGATTTCCAGTCGTGTGAAAAATCTTTAACTTTTCAAACTCAGTAAATAATATATGAGGAACCTCATCCATAGAATGCTGAAAGTTACCCAGTATAATTATATATACTCCCCATTGGCGGATCCTGTGGGAGGGATCCAAACTACACTCCTCTGAATTTTTGAACCAGGAAATTCATATACTTAAAAACAGAATTAACTGAACTTTGCTCCTTAGGAAACAAGGATTGTCTCTTCTTTAAACGGTATGGGTATTATAGCGAAATGTGGTAACGAAATGTCTCTCGAACCCCCACGAAAAAATATAGTTGTCTAGATTCGGTCAAGACATACTTTTTGTATAGCGATTCTGGCCTTGGTTACAGTTGATTTCAAACCCCATTGAAAAAGAAGACCCGCCTCAATCATTAGGGCCTATATCTCGGCTGCATAGCCGTCGGAAGCAAATTGAAAGGGGTGGCTAAACCAACAAAAAAGGTAAAAGTCTATTTTCAATGCCTATATGATGTATATATTCGCAAAACAAGTGGGGTGGGGCTACCCCCCCCCCCCCTGGTTCCGACGCCTATGGACTGGAAAATACTCCACTATAAACTTTATATTCTTTTATTTATACCAGTATTTAGTATCATATGCAGGTAAACTATATAAAGAAAAAGACAAACACAAAATGTAGAGTATTTAATTATAATTAATACACTGTAGAAATTAAAGAATGGGATAAAATATAAATTTATCTATATCTAGTAATATAAAATAATACAACTAGCTTTCCATTTACTCGTCCAGAGTTTTTGATATGATCTAAATTCTTAATTTGGATTTACAGCATTTGTCTCTTAAAAATCTATTATTTCAAATGAAACTAGCACCAGTCCTAGAATGCACACAAAATCCATTGCAGAAAAATAGCACACACATAAAGGATGAGATTCGCTGAGAAGCAGGCATTGCCCTTGTTTGACCCCTCTGTTGAAGATACACGTTTTCCTCCTTCCATTACAGGAGAGCGGGTTACAGATTCTGCAGCATTAGTTGTACTAGAATAATAATCAGGGCCTAACCCTCTTTTTAAAGGAGGACTGGTAGTTGATTCTATTTGACGAGGCGTAGTTTCTTGAGAGCATGCCACATTATCGGGAAGTTTTTCACATGCTAAACTCTCGGGCCACGGAAATCCGAAACTCTCCAATACTGGTTGACAACTGTTTCTAACTTCGTTACATGTAGTGCGACACGGTTGAACAGCTTCCCCTTGTGCGTTGCACTTCGGTAAATACATTGCACATAAGAAATGTTTCAGCCTTGGACTACAACCATACTGCACGAGCGGGGAAAATGTAGACAGTTGTAAACCAATATCATCTTGATGTCTATGGTTTGGCAATATTGTATAATTGTAGGGCATGTCTTTGCACATTGGAACCTTTATCACTTGGCATTTTGCATATGGCTGCACAGTTGCTTGAGCGCTCATACTGGTTGTTCTTAAGAAACTTGTACTTCTGATTGGTGGAGGAAGTGTGGTAGTCTCTTGAGGCGGAGGCATATTATCACGAGCACACAAACGATTTTCTGGAAACTTTTCACATGCTAAACTCTGCGGCCATTGAAAACCGAATTTACTCATCAATGGTTCGCATCCATCTCTGGCTTCCTCGCAGATGGAGCGACACGGTGGAATTGCTTTTGACAAGACAGAACACACCGGAACATACACCGAGCATAAGAAAAACTTCAATTTAGAGCTACAGTTTACTTTGACAAGGGGGAAAAACTGGTGTACCTCTAAACCAGCGTCCTCTTGTTTTTGGTGGTTTAAAAGATTTGGCATTACTGTATAATTGTACGATATGTCCTTACACAGAGGAATCGAAATTTGTTCGCATTTTGGATGTGGCTGAGACATTGGTTGACCACTCTTAATAAAACAGACCCAAGTAACAAAGAAAACAACCAGCCCTGTTTTGATGACTGCCATTTTTTGGTTCAAATATCAAGGAATTTGGAAAGCTTTCTGAAATACACAAAATAATGTATTTTAATTATACAAATACACAAAAATATACACATACCTTTATTTTCATGGATAAAGTTCATAACACCATTCCAGAGTTACTTTTCCTATATTTTAAGTGTTCGCAAATTGATTTGAGAAAATTAACCATGTATTTGGAACAACATTTACTTTAAATAGATCGGCAACCGCTTCCTTTTTTTAAAGTTATTCACCAAAATATACAAAAAAAAAAATAATAAAGAAAACTAGTAGCTTTTTTGATTTAAAAAGGATCTAATTACGGATGGGCACTTTAAGAAGAGCATGTAGGGTTAAAGGGAGTGATTTCGTTAAAGCTTACAAGTTCTTGAGATACAGACAGGAAATGAAAGTTTATAATTTTACACATACAAAATGTATGAGTTTACGACCTTGATCTCGACCTTTTGACGTCAAAATAAATAAGGGTCCTCCTTATAGGTCAAAGAAAGTTAAAATGTAGATTTTCACTGCGAACAATTAGAAGTTTCTCTAGATGTCGCGCCGAAACCGATGTATTAAATTCATATTGAGAGATTATCTTCGGCGTTTTGGCCGTAAAACCATGAGGCGTCTTTCTTGCGCCATAGAGCATGTAGAGAGCTTCTGTATAAAATTCACTGCAAAAGCTCTTGAAAACGTTTTTCGAGATATCGCGCAGAAACGAAGTAGTCTCGTTCAACCAGACGCTCGGCTGTCTCCGTAAATCTCCGACCAGCATCTCTGCGGAGACAGTCGAGCGTCTGGTTGAACGAGACTAAGAAACAAAGATGTTACATACAGAGATACAGACGGACAGACGGACGGAAAGACCGAAATTAATACCCCCCCCCCCCTTGTGAAAGCGGGGAGCAAACAAAGATCTGACAATGAACTGGTAGGAAACAAGTCTGACAGTCAAAATACAAACGAGTGATAGATAATAATTGCTAACAAGGTCATTACATCAATCATAGAATGTACAAAATGCTGATCGACTTGAACTGTTGAAATGCCTCAAACATAAACTCATGCACGTGTGAGTATCCTGCATTGGTTTAGAAAATCGTAATCATAAAATGATTAAAATCGTAATCGGAGCCAGCTCTTGAGTAGCGAAAAAATTGACAGACATGCATAATGTAGGTAAAAAAAAAAATACATGTATTTAAAAACTTCAGAGTCATTGATAAATGATAAAAGAAAGCAATACATTAATTTTAAATTAATTGAAAGTTTGTAAAAATTTACATACATGAACCTGAGGTATCTTTTTCGTGAGTTTCCCAGTCCGTTTGCAGGGACTCCTACGATATGATGTTCATATAAATTTCGCAATACACGTACATTATTAGCATAAAAAGTTACACCATCTTTATTTTAAGTACGAAACAATTATTTTTATCTTCAACCAAGTGTGTTATTTCCGTCGAATTTATTAATTTAACAAAGCTTGACACTGGTCTTATGACTTAAACACTCCAGTGATATAAGTGGTCTTGTATTTCATACAAAACTGAACTAGTGCTAATTGTAACGGGAACCGTTACAGATGTTCCCCAAACGCTCCCAACTCCCTTTCGGTGCCATATTCCCTGCAAGTTTCATTAAATAAGACAAACTCTGTGCATTTTTGACTTTAACAACGTTTTTCCAGAAGAATACGAATTATATTCAATTTTTAGCATTGCACCCAAGCGCATGTGAATGCATGTGCATTATGACCATATTATCTTGTCTAAACTATTTATATATTTTAATATACTATATATTAAAGCATTCAGTCCAAAAGTAATAAAAATCACTCATTCAAGTGTATTTTTAAATATACTCGTTTCAAATGCACGCACGTGCGTGAACGTGCATGATGATCATACCTTCTTGTAGGAGTCCCTTACATCTATCTATGTTCTAAATCCCATCCTGTTTGGTTGAAAAACAAGGGACCGGAGTTATAGCCATTTAAAGTTTCAGCCAATCAGATTGCAGCACACGTGTATGCGCGTGATTTTATGATTTTTTTTAATATCATTTTGTAGGATATACAAATGCATGACTATATCTTAAATTTCAAAGAATTTCGTCAAAAAACAAAGGAGAAATAGCCATTTAAAGTTTCAGCCAATCAGATTGCAGCACACGTGCATGCGCGTGATTTCATGATTTTTTTTCTATATCATTTTGTAGGATATCCTAATGCATGACTATATTTTAAATTTCAAAGAATTTCGTCAAAAAACAAAGGAGATATTGCCATTTAAAGTTTCAGCCAATCAGCTTGCAGCACGCGCACATGCGCATGCTTTCATGAAAATTCTTATATATCATGCGGTAGATCTTCATAATGTAGGACTATGTTCAAAATTTCAAAGGATTATGACAAGAAACAAGAAAGATATTGAGACTTTAGTTTCAGCCAATCAGAGCGAAGCGCACGTGCATGCGCGTTAGATCTTGCTATTTTGACCATGCTATCTTGTCTATACTACTAATGTATCCTTACATTATGAGTTTCAAAAAATTTCATCAAAAAATAGAAAAGTTACGGCAATATCCATTATATTGGTCATTTCACGTGTTGCACGTGCGCGCTCTTGCAAGCACGTGCGCGCAAAATGACCTTCGTTCGGCAACTCTACATAACATGCCTACTGACCCTAAAAAGGTTTCACCTAAGTCGGATGTATAGTTTACAAGATCACTCGTGGACAAAATTTTCCCAGGAAGAAGAAAAATAATAAGAATAATAATAATAAGAAACAGAGTAAAAACAATATGTTCCCCAACTTCGTTTGGGGAACATAATTACGGACAATTCATAACGCATGCACGGATCTGGGTGTCGGGGGTCAGGACCCCCCCCCCCCCCCTTGAATTTACAAGGTTAAAAAATGTATATATTAAAGCAAGAAAAAGGTTACCATAGACCCCTTAGAAAACGCTAACCCCCCTGATAAACGTGCATATGTGGATTTTTTTTTTGACTGGTGGACCCCCCCCCCCCCCCGGAAAGAAAATTCTGGATCCGCGCCTGTAATGCATATACTTAGATGGAACTCGGACAGCATGATGAAAACAGTTCTCCTCTCGACACCAGTTTCTATTCACTATATTTACTGAATATTTTTTGTAAAAGTTTGTAATTTTCCCTATACAGTGTGATTAATCATAATGATGACCTGTCAAGCTAGCCAGCCGTCTGTTCCTTGTTATGGCGGGAAAACAGAAGAGTCCGTTGTCAATCCAGCATGTAAAAAATGTCATAAAAATTAGTTTGAAAAGTCAGTCAAGTTCTGCTTAACAATCAGAATATGTTTTGAACAAAATAATTTCTCAAGTGACAAGGTATAAGTAAACATATGTATTAAGCAGCTGCCTATATGGCTGCAAAACGTAAAGCTTACATGCAGGCTTCAATTTATCATGGGGAATGGGAGGTTGTAAATACAGTTGAAAAGAATTGTTTTGTGTTAGGGAATAGATGAATAAAGTATGATGACAGACAAAAAAAAGGTAGCAATAGGCCATCTGGATTTTCGCTTTTGCTCATTATTAGTGTACGTGTAAACCTTAGGCTAATCTCAAGTTGGGACTTGATTTCCAGACATGAAATATTAATGGCTGTCCAGAGATTCTGCGGGCGTCAGTCCAAATATCTAGCCCAGCAGAATCTCAAGAGAGATTAACCTTAGGCATCCCATAAATACAAGGGTTAAATTACACTTTTAAATAATTTACAGGAAAATAAAAATTCGGGATACATGTATGAGATTTACAAAAAGACTTGAAAATACTTTGTTCAGCAACATGTACATCATTAATTGATAAAAGAATAATTCGGCGTGATGAATTTCTATTTACAAAATTTATTGACCAGTCGGCAGGGGATGCTCACTCATCTATGGCACCTGATCCCGCCTCTGAAGTTTTGGAGGTCCGTGTTTGTTCTGCTCCTATTCGTTATCTCCATATTTTTCATCAATCCATATTTAATAATGTCCCTCTAATAAGGGGAAAAAAAATAATTCATCAGCTCTTTAGAAATCAATGAAACTCAAAAACAAATTAGAATTTTTTTTAATATATTTTATTATGTGTAATTTCCAATTGAATACAGTACATCAAAGGCTACAGAACAACGAGCTCAAATGACAGGGTATGTCTTTTAACCACAAGGAACCACAAGGAACCCCAAGGAACCACAAGGATACCCCAAGGAACCACAAGGAACCCCAAGGATACCACAAGGACATCTCAATTAATTTTAATGAGTCTAATTATGGTTTATATGTGCAATTTTTAGTCATCTGAGTCACATGTGACCTATTGCTATATGTTATTGTCCGACGTTGTGCTTCCTGTCCGTCTGTTTCCTAATCTTTTGAACCATTTCAGCTTCTTTTCTTAAACAGATTATCCAATTTCAACCAATTTTGGCACAAAGCATCTATAGGTAAAGGGGAGCAAAATTTTCAGATTTCAAAATCTCTTACCCACAGGGGATTAACAGCCAAATGTACTCAACAATCTTCATGTACATTAACACCCCTTACCCATGCACAACACCACAAAGAAACACATTATCACCCACAAGGAACCCAGTGACACCCAAAGATACCCTAAGTGTGAAAAAATTAGCAAATGATTTTATAAACCATACACCTACTCAAAGTAAGCAAGCAGTATTGCATGATTTAAAAAGTGATTATGGAATAGCTGAAGATGTTAGAGTATATCTAGTTGATAATGAGCAATAAGGCCATCCTTAAAAAATTGTTTGTTTGGAATTGCTGCCTGAAGGGTTTCAGACACAGGAGGGAGGGAGAGAAATTATTTTGTTTTCAAAACTGAAGATGAATTTTAAATTCTTGATAAAAATATCAGTAAACAGTACCGGTAAATACATTTTCTGACTTAAAAAAAAAAGTATCTACCATCAACAAAGAAACATAATTTTGCACAGATCTGACACTACATTTCAGTGTTTTGTATGGTGCATGTTATATTGGGTAAAAAAATGGATTAAATAAAAAAAATCTTCCTACTTTTGGTCAATAATTTTTTTTCAGGGGGGGGGGGGGGCATTTCAATGAGGCGGGAAAACTTTAGAAAAACTGTGGGTAAATTTTCTTTACTTTGTGGATTCAGGGATATTTTTATGAGTATTTTCAATTACTTAACTGTTGATTCTATGAAGCTGAGGATCGGACTACCTATTTACCCACAGTTTTTCTAAAGTTAATCATGTACCGTAATATACATGTAGGAAAAATTGTCAAATCGCTAATATTTATGCAGAAAATTTGAAGAGGAATATAAGTTATGAATTTTCTATTTGCAAATTGATCGACAAATATAGAGGTTAAAAAACAATAGGTATCCAGGCATTCAGAGAAATTGTCATGATTTTTTTTTTAATTATTTGGTATTCTTTGTGTTCTATTTCCTTCATGTTATTTATAATGCACAGTTTGAGTCATTAGTACAAGGGTTTTCATATTTCATTTTTCATAGGAAGACGGTTCTTCGTTACACACACCCTTTCCTATGCTTTACTATGGGCAGAGGGGTGT